GCACTTGCAGGCAGGTACTTATGCCACTGAGCTGAATCCCAGGCCCAGACAATATTTCTTAAAAGGTCCTCATTTTGCTTCACACTGAAAGAGTTTTGCTCTAGAATAAACTATAGGACATTACGGCAGTCGAAGGCCAAATCCGCCACGTGTACGCTGAGGTCACTTTCTCCTTCCCCATCACAACTACCTTTTGCCTTTCTCAGTGCTTGTGAAGAAAATTACCATCAGCTCCTCGTGTGTTGTCAGTCCCCGTCCTAAGCATCACCCCTGGTCAAAGGTTAATGTGTCCCCTACCCCATATCCTCCTTGAAGGAGACAGCCCAGCCGCCATGGGTTATGTGCTCCTTTCCACATCTTCACCTCAATAAACTTGTTTGTTTTATATTTTTACTTTTCTATTGCACCCGAATAATCCAACACACTCTGTAAGAAATTGTCATAAATGAATAATTAAAATAACAATTGTTCTGAAGGAAAGGAAATGTTATCACCCAGCTCTTAGTTTGGAGTTAGGAGGCAGCCAGCTTTATCCTGCTTTACTCTGGCTCAATAGTTGGTTTTTGAAATGTGAACTCTTTCTCTCCACTAGGTTTTTATTTTTTGATGTTGAAGTTGCCCAAAGCGATTCAAATCATGATACATGCCCCAGGAGCCTTCTCCAGCCACTATGGAATGACATGGCCCTTTTGCCCTAACCCCTGCAGCTCAGTTAATAAAAAGACTTTTTCTTCTTCCTCCCAAGGGGCTTCCCAGAATGGCCGGGGCATTGGGATTCCTCTTGGGCACCAGGTCAACCCTCACCAGCTGAGCACAGGGCCCAAGCTTCTTGGCTGGGGCAGCTGGGGAGGGATCACTTGGTGTTTCTATGTTGCAGGTCTCTGTCAGTGAGGGGCAGGGCTGAGCCCAGGGAATCTTCTGAATGCTGGGTATGCAAATACGGGGCTGGGTCTCTCTCTTTCTGGTCTTTGCCAAGCCATGGTGTCCCCTCCTTTACTCAGAAACAGGAGCCTCTGCAGTGACTGGAGGGAAGGCAGGGCCTGTGCTTACTGCCTGGGCTCCTGTGGGAACGGAGAGTGGCAGCTGCACAGCCAGCGAAGACCCCACCAGCCTAGCAGGAGAACACTGAGTCAGACTGTCCCAGTCCTTTTAGGGACGGGGGCAGAGAGCAGCTGGCTGAGCTGCACAGACAGCTTCAGCCAACATGGGGAAAGTGAGGGGCAGGTGATTCCTTTCCCTTGGACTCTGAGTGGACACAGGGGTGAGGAAGGAAGGAAAGGAAAGCAAGCCCCTGCTGTGCTGGGCACAGCCTGCTCCCAGGGTGCACCATCCAGGTGTTTGTGGAGAGGTCTCCTGAGGTTGGGAAATGCAGATGCTTTGCAATGGGGATTTCACTGAGTCTCACAGCAACCCTGGGTGTCAGATATCAGTGTTCCTGCCTCACAGGTGAGAACCAGGAGCCATAGAGTTTATGAGCTGGGGTTTGCCTCTAGTCCCAGGAGTAACTGAGCAGTTGTGTTGGGAGCAAGGACTCTGGGGGTAGAGTCAGAGCACAAGGGACATTCAGGCATCTGACTGGGAGAGAGGGGCTGCATTCACATGTGGTGTCCTGAGCAAGCACCAAGAGTCATGTTTAAGAACAGGCATGGGATCAGCAGTGCCGTTCCTGACCGGTTCCTGGCAGACTGCTCAGCCCTCAGAGGCTAGAGATAACTTCCCCAATCAGTGGCCTGCTTTCTTCTGATTCCTCACCCTTCAGCACACCAAAGCCTCTGCAAACTGTCTCATGCTGGGAAAAATCTGTACTTCAAGGCTAACACCATATGTGGAATGCCCAGATTTAATCTAAAATTTGCATCTGCTAAGAATCACTTTTCCACACAGAGTGCATTGTCTCTTGAGCAGAAGGTAAAGCAGCACCTTAGGAGGCTGGAGCCACACCTGATGCTCTGGAAGCTTTGGGGCAGAGATCTGTCGCTACTTCTTGCATTTCTTTATGCAACAGCCCTGAAAGCTTGGGTTGCATCCTTAGCGTTTGTAAACCACAGACCCAGGGCCTGGATACAAAGGATTGAAATGTGTGGTTCCCTCTTAAGCCAAGCTCATACAGTGCAGTGGTTACTATATACCTATGGAAAATCATGTGTAAGAGTACATTTCTATGTTTGGATGCATCTGTGTAAGTCATTAACTACAGGATTACTGCCTTTGAAGAATTTAAAGTTAAATTGCAAAAACTTGTAAAAAATTAGGATATAGTGACAAAATAGTTTATTGAAGACAGTACAGGAGACAATTTGAGTGACCCCTGTGGTACTCAGGACAAAACCGAGTGCAGGGCAGTGACAGCTGAATGACAGAGGGGAGCAGGGGGCAGCTGCTCCTGAAGACACACTGAAGCTCTCCCAACCCTGCTCAGCCGCAAACTGCACTGTCTCAGCCTAAGTCCCTGTGAGCAGTTATGTAATGTGGTCTCCATGGTTCTTTAAATAGTGTCTAAGATACAATGAAAAATTAGAGAACATTTTAAGGGACCTATTCGCTCTACACTCAGGAAGAATGTTTTTCTTTTTTATGAGACAATACAGTGAAATTGGTACAAAACTCCACAGCAGGATACTGGGATAACAGTAATAGGTACCATAGTACCTTCACAATAGTTGTCCATTCAATCAGATATAGTAAAATCAAACCAAAATCAAGAACACTATAAAACCAACCAAAACATAATACTGAATAGAATGAAACAATCAGAACAAAGCAAAACAATGAAAACAATATTTGCCATCAAAGAGATGGCAGAAGGAAATCTCTCATTTTGCTATATTGCATAGGGTCATCCTCCCATGAGATGCTCAACCTCTGGCTCCCAGCTGCTAAAGGTGGGGAGGAGAGCTGGACATATGATTTTAAGCCTATGCACTGGTAGGCTCATGGAAGAGGCTGACTGATTCTCTTCCTGGCTCGCCTGCCACTTACTCCAGGCATGACTGCCTACCAGGAAGGGGAGGGTTGCTTTCTTGCTCAGAGCCCTAAGTTCCAACATGGCTGGATCTCAGGAGATGCTGACTGCCATGAAGAAGAATTTCCCTGAAGCAAAACTGTAGCTTTTGTACAGGTACAATGAGATAGCAAGAACTTTAAAATGATAATTTAATAACTTTAATGGATTCAGACAAGTGGAGATAAATAAAATTCAAGAATAGAGAGTAAATTTGTATAAAGCTATATAAACGTCAGACATTTTCAAACTGAAATCTACTGTATTGTAAATAAAATTTATCTCAGACACATTAGCACGCACTGGACACAGTAGAAGGAAAGACTGGTGAATTTGGAAATGGAACAAAAGAAATCATCTGATCAAAAACAGAAGAGACATTTATAACCAATGATGAGATCATCTGAGCCCTGTAAGAAACCTATGATGAGAGACTCAGACAGACATAAGTTACAGCAGAAGAAATGTTGCAAGGGTAAGAGAGTTAGGAATATTCTGAAAATTATCAAGCAGCTTATCCACAAGATTCAAGCATTTTAATAATCTTTAATCACTGCAAGTAAAATAAAAGGGAGTCTTGTGGCACCATAATCAAAGTATAAAAGATAAAATCTTTAAGGCTACCAACAAAAAATACCTAATCTAATAAAAGAAATAAAATTAGAATGATGGGTTACAGCTCATGAAATATAAGCAAGTCACAGGGACAGTGGAATAATAACTTTCCAATGTGAAAGAAACAAAATGAACTTTCAGTTTTTTCACCACAAAACCAGAGCAGTTTTTCCTGCAGACCTGGTCCACAAGAAATGCTAAGAGGATTTGCAGGCTGGAAGAGAACTCATAAAACATCACTTGTGGTCAGTATGCAAAAATGCAAACCTGAAGATAATTAAAAATTATATTTGCATTGGGTAGAAACCACTGACGCATGTAAAAATTACACCAAAATTTTTGGGATTATTTCTCATGTAGAAATGAAATATGCAAAGGCAGGAGCACAAGAAGAGTTTGGTTACAATCATGCACCAGGCAGGCAGGGATCCTGCTGTCACTGAACTGTACGCCAAGGCACCACAGGTGTTCTCAGTTGTCCCCAATGGCTAGAGAAGCCTTGGAATTTCCTTCCTACCCATCTCCCCATGTAGCTTCCCAGCCTGGATGCCAGGAGGGAGCTGGGACACAGACATCTTCAAGACTGGGCTCCAGTCTCATCACACATCCTGTCAGTTGGAGAACAGTCAGGGAGAAGGTGGAGGGGAACCTCATCCAGCGCATTGCTGGGCTGACAGGTGGGCAGAAAGGCCAAGCAACACTGCACTTTTTAATGTCCCTTTGAAACATTGCCTCATCACCTAGTAGGAGACTGCACCTAAGGACCCCTCTTCCTAACTGAAGAGAAGAAAGGGCTGCTGCCTTGCTGCCCAAGTGAAGGGGAGGTCGGGTCCAACTACGAAGGTGCAGCCACCTTAAAATGAAGGCTGGATTTGACCCAGAGGAAGATTACAAGTGAGGTCATCAGCGAAGCTGAAATCTCAGGTTTCCCAATACATGGACCAAAATCTGAGATGGTGGAATGTCAGTGAATGTGAAGAGTGCCCTGCAATTCTCTTAAACCAATGAAGAAAATTTGTGGAATTTCTTAAAAATACTCAGAACAGAGAACACCAAGTTCAAAGTCAAAGATACTTATTCCAGAAAAAACAAAAACAAAAAACAAAACTAATGAATGTAAAAGAATCTTACTGGAGCTCAAATAAAACCACGTGGAAAGAACTAAAATTATTTTAGAGTCAATGATAGAGCTGAAACTCCTGTTTAAAAGAAACAATGTTGACAATTTAGATTTCAAAAAGGACAGAATATATCCAAGGCATTGCAAAGTAAAATGTAAAAGTTATCTTTTTTCCTTTAGAGACAAGTTGCTTCCTCAGGCTAGGGCATGCATAGCTTCCTCCCATATCCTGAGTTCAGATAAACAAATAAAATATGCAGATACTAGCATCAGAAAGCCAGGGGCCCAGTTTCCTTTGCACAAAAGCAAGAGAACAAAGAACAGAGGAGGGCTAACCCTGCGGAATCTGGTGTGGAGACCTGCATTACCCTCCTGCATTTCCCTCCTCTCTGCTCCTCACTGTGAAAGAGCCTGGCCAGCTCCATGCTGAGAAGATGATGCCACAGAGGCAGCTTTGGGCAAATCTTTCCCTTTTTCTCCAAACTCATGGCCTCCTCTAATTTCATCAACCTTAAGCAGAGAAACCTAAGCCTATGGACCTAAGAGTGTAGTAAGTTTGGGGAGCATGAAGGGACACAGGTCCCGCCTTTTGAGAGGCATGCATGCTGGGAACAGGGATGTAGTGCTGGCAGCTATTGCTGGGCTACTTTCCTAATTAATTAATTAATTAGTTATTGGTACTGGGAATGAAGTCGGGCCTTGGGCTTTCCAGGCAGGCTGTGTGGTGCTGAGCTACATCTCTGGCCCAGGGTTACTTTCTTTTTTCGGGACAGTGGACCAAACTCACAGCCTCATGCTTGCCAGGCAGGTGCTCATGTCCCTGAGCTGTATCCCTGGACACCATGGGTCACTGTTTTTTTTTTTTGTTTTGTTATTTTGTTAGCAAGGCCTGAACTCAAGACCGTTTTTAACTAGGAATGACTTTTTTAACTAGGAATTTTCCTCCTTTCCTATTCACGGCATAGGCAGCCTAAAAAGATTCCCCCTTTTGCTGTGAAAAGGAAAAAGGCTGCTGGGGAGCTGGGGAGGGGGAGATTTGTGCCTGTTTTCCTGCTGGGAAGTTCTCCCCAGAATCCACTGGCCCCACGGCTTGGATTTACTCCAAGGTCATTCCTGCAGCAAGGTAAGGACCTTCACTGTTGGGGGATTGTGGGATGTAATACATTTTGAGACATCAGGTGGTCATCAGGGCCATTTGTGTGAGGAGGGTGCCATTCTTGGTGGTCCCTTGGAACTGTTGCTGTCATTTGGGGACACTAATTGGCTTGAGAAGAGATTCAGAGGTTAAAATTATTTGTCTAGCAGTTATTTTGGATTGCAGTACTCATTTGTGCTGGCTTTGCTCTGGTATGCTTTTATTTGCTTTTGTTTCTTTTCTCTTTCTCTTCCTGTAACTACCTTTAGCCTAGAATGGGCAGCAGGCTTTGGTGCCCATTAGAATTCTGTAAGCCACTTGGGCTCAGTTCTTTTAGGGCTTCCTTGTGAGTGTGTGAATCAGCAGTAAAATATGTCCACGAAGCAGATTGTGTATGAGGACTGTGAGTGGAGCCCAGCAGGACTGGAGGGGATGCAGCCCTGAAGCTACAGGATGTGGCCCCTTTCCTGCTCTGTCCCAAAGCTGTGGGCTCAGGGAGGACATGCACTTTCCATAAATGTGGTTAGGAATCCCCAAGGAAAGCCCCTGTTCTCACTGAGAATAAAACACACAACACTCCCAAAAGTAAAGGTGACTATCAGCCCTCCCCTCACATGTCATTTTCATCAGAGATCAGTCCCAATATTGATTGGGGAGCTACAGTGAAGCAATATAGAGCTCAATGTTCTTTTATCACTTGGAGGTGAACAAACTTAGATGGAAAGATTTCAGGAACACAGAGCCCTGAAGGTGCCTGTCAGGAGCTCTGTCACAAAGTGCTCAGAACTAAAAGTGCCATGTTGCATCTCTCTAAATATTTGTAGTTACCCATGACGTGAAGAAGGTCATTTGGTTGTGATACATTGTAGCATGTTAGCAGAAGGCACCCTCTGATTTCATGGAACTGCCCTCAAAACGGTTCTCTGAGCCTGGGGGTTTAGTGCAGCAGTGTAGCTGCCTGCTTGGCAAAAAAGAAGTTGTGAGTACAAAAAAAAGATTCTCGGAAATCACTTTGTCCAACATGATATCCACACCAGCTTTCTTTGCATTTGTCTGTGTTAGGATGGTGGCAAGCAAGAGCAGTGGGGCTCCTGAAGGCCGAGGCTCTTTGACTAATGTCAGGCAGTTTCCTGGGGCTTCACTCCACCTGGTTTCTGTAACAGTCCTTGACTCAATGTAAAGCAACTGTGCTTGAAAACATTTGTAAAACATGTTCCCTAAAACTTGGTTTTTGTATGCTGTTTCCTCCTTTCCTTAACCACCACAGCAAACACCTGTGAGTACGGAAGTTTTCCTTTTGCATTTTTCCTGGTGGGCAGCATTGTTCCTAATCAGGCATCTTTTCCCATATTACAGCGAGTTAGCAACAGAGCTGATGTGAGACATAAATTTCTGACCAGGTGTATCTAATTTAGCGCAAAAAATAATGTATTAAAACCTAGGGCAGGGGCTGGGGATTTAGCTCAGCGGCATAAGCGCCTGCCTTGCAAGCAGGCAGTGGTGAGTTCGATCCCTGGTACCGATAGAAAGGAAAAAGACCAAAAAACAAAACAAAACAAAACAAAACAAAAAACCCCCAAAACACCTAGGGCAAGAACTTTGAAATTGACTAAGAACTATCTTAGTTATGGCATTATCTTAACATGGTATGAAAGTCACCGGTTTTGTTGAATTGTTACTTTGCATGTTTGTATGGTCATACATTGTCAAGAGCCATGTTTCTCTGGGTTAATAAGAAACACTCTGCTCAAAAATTTATACTCTTAGATTGTAAAATAAACATTGTTTTCACCTTATATTCAAGATTGGTTAGATTCTGCTGAGTATCTAAAATATTACAGTGGTGTCAGTAAATTATAATCTTAGTAAATTGTGTCCTTTATTCTAAGTGGGAATTCACAGTAGTTTAAAAATCATCTTAATTACATTTCTAGAAGAACTAAAGCTTGCTTCACAATAATATTGGCTTTCTTTCATTAACCTGGTCCTGTGTTTCTTAGTTCAAGTCTATGGCATAGAATAAATTTGCATTATGGTTTCCCACTGGTTTTATGTCTGTTTATGGCATAAAACAGAGATTAAAATTTGTAATGGCCATTGCAACCATTGCTTGTCAAGATTCTAACAACTTAAGATGTTAACTACTAAATAGAAAAGATTATACATGACAGCAGACTATAAGAATCACTCTTTCTAAATCTGATATTGTTCAAATTTAACACAACTAGAGCTGTGACTATGTGTCACAGCCACTGCAATGCAGCGTGTATTCTAATTAATCATACGTATGAAAGTTTCCTGGCCACCATGCTGCATAGCTATCTATGATTAATTGACAGTGTCTTAAAAATACATTCAGAGATAAGGGGGACAATTAGCAAGAATCAAAGAGTTACCTGTATGCCAGACCTACCAAAGTAAGGAGAGCTGCTGAGGTTTTGAAGGGTAACCCTGATGCAGGACTGATTAAAAGCCCCAGGCTCTGCTAACTTGTAAGTTAGTGTGGTTAAAAATCTCCGGAGCTTGGCTTTCATTGATAATTCACATCATGAAGTTTAGTTAATTGGGGGCGGTTCAAGCGCTGACTTCCCTTGTCTTGTGCTCCAGGTGGCTTTAAAGGACTCAAAGCAGAGGCCCCGCTCTGGACAGCAGGCAGGTGGTGTGACACCTGAGGCCTCAGGACACAGGCTGAAATCAGAAAGGGAACTGTAAGTGGCACCGGAAATTAAAATTTTAAATGTTTCACTTTGTTTCCTTTAGTGAGAAGTGGCTTCCTGAGGCTTAGGGCATAAACAGCTCCCCAACATCTCCTCAGTTCAGATGATTAAAAAATATGCAGATACTGACATCAAAGTGGCTGGAGCTCAGTTTCCTTTCTAGAAAAACTGGACAATGAGCTGAAGATGGCTGACAGCGATCCACTGTGTGAGGAGATTTGAATGTCTCTGCCTGCTCCTCTACTCTCTATTCCTTACTGTAAAACTCTTGCCCACCTCTACACAGTGCATCATGATTTCATGAAAACAGTTTCCTCAGCCTCAGAGCTAGCTTTGAATGAAGGCTTTTTCCTTTTTATCTATATACATGGCCCACTTTAATTTGAGGCTAGTTAAATTTAATTTAATTTGGGGCTGCTGACAAGTAGGCCATGGGTCAGTAGGTACTGGGATGACGAAGGACTCAGCCACCCACTACCTGCTGAGCAGCTTGGGGTATAAATGGTGAAGAATCTGTCCATCATCACTGTTTCAAAGGCAAACAGACTGAAATTTCACAGGTATCTTGAAGAGAGAATCACCTTGACCATGAATGTTTAAAAGAAAAATGAAAATCAAAATGGATTGGAATAATAGCTAAATTTGAAGAGTTTATTAAAAATTTTATAGAATTCTTCATCCAGTTTCCAGATTTCCCTGTTTATGTTAAGATACCATAAAATTGACATACTATGCAAATAGCAGAATTATTTCATTTATTGCAGTAGGATCAATTGCTTTGAAGTGATGCACGTGATGAAAATCATCTGTGATCCCAGTATCTGGAAGGCTGAAGCAGGAGGATCCTAAGTATGAACCCTGCCTCAGTGATTCAGCAAGGTCAAAAAAACCCTCTGCCTCCTGGGGATTTAGCTCAGTCACACAAACACTTGCCTGGCAAGTGTGAGGTCATGAGTCATGGGTACATTTCCTATTACAAAAAAAAAAAAAGAAAAAAAAAAAAAGAAAAAAACCCTCAAAATTTCCCTCTGTCTCCTCTCTCTGTCACTAGCATTGGAACAAAGGGCCTTTACATTCAGCTACATCTTCAGTTGTTTTCTACTTTTGTTTCTAATTTTGAGATTTCATCTTCCTAAATTTCCCAGGCGGGGATCATACGTCCAATCCTCCTGCTGCAGATTTCCAGATCCTGGGATCGTAGGTGTTTTCCATCACATGCATTTTTTCAAAGAAGTTCACTTGACTTCAGTCAGTGAAATAATTCTGCTGCTTAAATAAGAAACCTAAGCACACCTGTAGGACACAGAATAGAAGTTCATTTAGCCTAATAGGTCTATGGTACAAAGTAAATTTTACTTTTCCATTGTTACAGCTTAGACAGAGATTTCACTGCCTGTAGTAAGTGTCATTTCACTTATTCTGGAGCTGTATTTTTTTTTTTTTGGAGCTGTATTTTTAAAGTTTGCTTTGTTCCTCATGGGTATGTCTTAGATACAAAAAGTTACAATTGATATTTTACAAAGTCATCAAAAATAAGTTTAATTATATCCTTCAAATAATTAATAACCACTTACTGATATTATTAGAGATCATATTTTATAGACAAATAGTAGAAATGATTCATTTTTGTGTACTTCCTGATAAAGAATTATAATGACAATAGATAAAATAATGAAAAACACCATATTGACATGGTGCCAATAAAGCAGGATTAGTGGTAAATGTTCTAGAATGTAGGTCTCCTGAATGTCATTCATGCCATTATAAAGCAAGTTACTTTCTGTTTAATGTTTCTATGGAGATTCGGTATGAAGAATACATTAAAAGCCAGCATTCTTGGTGTGGTGAATCTGGAGATGATTGTAAAATGATTTTAGCATTTGAATTTCTACTGCTTGTAATACTTCATCGACTGAATGCTCAGAAGCCTGGAAAATCTTTTCCAGGACAATCAGCTTCAGTTTAGCTTTATCGTATGGCAATTTTGTTAAATTTATTTTCTTTAAGTCAAGAAAATTAAAAAACAATTGCTTTGCTACAACACTTAAATTTTTAAAAACATTTATAGTTTTAGTAATGCTTTTAGCTATTTTAAATTACTGTGCTATGGTAGGACAAGTGGACATCCTAAATTCAGCCCAGCATGCACCAAGGAGCACGGTACTTCCTTTTGCCTAAGCTCTCCCTTGGCTCTCGCAACCACTGCTGCAGGGCATGGGGCTAATAGTAGTTCAGCCCCTGTGCATCATGAGAAAGGATCGCCAATTGTATGCTCAGCAGCTCCATTTGTTTAATATGTAAGAGGTTGCGCTCAGGGCTCAGCTATGCAAATGAATGTGTAGCACACACCAAGTGACAGAAAAGCAGCAACAGAACAATAGTGTGCTGATAATTTAGGGTTTTAGTATTTATAGGCTGGACACCTGCTTAGGGCCTCCCCGAATCTTGAGATGTGCTTGCCAGCTGGTGTTTCAGGCCTCCAGTGAGGGGGGAGTAGGGTAATGCTGACCAGAAGGTCAGGCTAGCAGGTCTAACACTGAATGTGCGCTCACCTCAGGCATCTGCATCTCCTAAGCTTCCTTATTCTACTTTTTATCTCTCTTAGGATAATGGAGTCGGGAATAGCCACAGGGGATAGTGTAGAATGCCAGGGTGAGAGGGGGTGACCCATCCCCTCCTTTTCTAACTGAGCTACAATGGCCTGACCCAGTGGTTAAAGAGTCCTTGTGTTCATGCTTTCTTTCACGTTGCATATGTGGTTGTTCATCTCTGAATCTGTGCTGAGATTGCTCCTCACAATCAGTCCTAAATGTCTGAAAACATCACAGCATCATATGATTCCCATCTGGTAATGCCTCCATGGAGGATGCTTTTGTAACATAGCTCTTCCTAGAACATGACTTGAGGGATAAAGAGTGACACACTCGTGAATATTCATTGCAAACAGCGTTAGCACCTTCCTATTGCTCCTGAAGAAGCCTGGAGAAGCCTAGGCAAAGTCCCCTCAGGCTCTGTAACCCAGGCAGGAGCACTTTTTTCCCCCCACCCATTTCTTAGCAATCTCAGAGCCAGGGTACTACTCAGATCCACCCAGTGTTTTTGAAGGGGACTGCTGTGGCCCCTGGGTGCTGTGCTGAGTTCTTGGGGTAAAACGTGCATGAGCACCACATGGCACATGTAAGACAAGTCCCATTCCTGGCTGCCAGACACGAGGGCAGTAGGATAAGCTCAGACCTCACTGTGTACTGGCTCCAGGCTGCCCTGCCTAAGACCTCCAATTTCATCACAGGAAAATTGATGGAAGTCAATTTAATGCAGTAACTTTGAAAACCCAACAGGAATGTACAAGCTGTCTTGTAATTGCCTGCTTTCTCAGATAAATGAGACTTCCCTACTGGCTTCCAGCTAATGAAATACCTTAAAAATAATATTCAAGATTGCCATGAAAAAACTGTGGTCTCTGAGGCATGGACAACGACTCAGACCCACATTATAGACTGAGTTCTGCTTTTAACTCACTGGCAACATTAGTAATAGAATCTCCAGGGCAGAGTCATGTGTAGCCAGAGAGGCTGTGCCCTGGCAAGTGGAGGGAAGGTCCCAGTGAGCCCAGAGTGGTAGGGATGTGGGAGATGAGTGTTAAGTCTCAAGGTGAAAAATCATGAATGAGCTGATGCTGTCAAGGAAACTTCACCTGATATCATAGCTAGAGAAGTCAATCAATGTCCAGAGACAGTCAAGGTGCTACTTGAACATGAATCAACATGTACTGGACTTAGTGCAGCTTTCTGTGGCCTGACACAAACAGCATTTTCTGGCACACCTTGCGCAGGACAAAGGCACATGTAGCTGGTGGCTTCCCAGTGGTGGTAGCCACACTTTTGTCAGCAAATGCCTCTTACACAGTTTGGCGGAGTGACAACTGGAGGTGAACTTGTGACGTCCAGAAAAATTGCATCAGTGTGGTGCTGTGTGTGCAGGGGCCCTCCTGAGCACCGCCCACAACATACCCAGAAGAATAGAAGAGGAAGAGCTGGTTCTGTGACTTCTACTAGAGGAGCTGTCCTGCTGGCTTTCTGCTCTGAACCTGGTTCTTCTCATCATCTGAGGAGCTCAGGGCCTTATTATTGGAAATGGTTATGCTCATTTGGGGGAGATGCTTAATCTGCAGGGGAACCTGGTATGCTGTTGAATCTCCTGGAGAAGCTCACTGTACTGGCTTTCCTGACGTGAACTCTCTTCTCTCTCTCTCTTTTCTCCAAATACATTTTATTTCAAGAAGAAAAAGAAAAAAGAAGAACAAGGAAAAAAATTACGACAAAATTACAAAACACATTAATCAGGGGCAACAATGGTACCTATATTATGCATTTTAATCTCCTAATCATTCACCCAAAACACAAGACATTTGCACTCAATAGTCCAAACAATACAGGCACAAATCTTCCTCTTCAGTGAACTCACAGAAATGAATAGGATAAATTCTTAACTATTATTATAAACATAGACATAGACATAGACTTATGTTTCTTCTTTCAGCTTCTCACATTAATGAGAAAATATGATGTTTTTATCCATTCCTCAGTCGATGGACATTTATGTCATTTTCAAGATCTGGCTCCCTACAAAATCTGCTTCTAGAATCTTGGGTCACATATATCACTGGGGTTTGGTGTTTTTTATTTCTTTTGGTGAGATATCCAAAAGGTGAATGGCTGGGTCAAATGGGACCTGTAGTCCTACTTTTTCCAAGGTTTCTCCACACTGATTTCCCCCGAGGTTGCACAGTCTGCGTTCGCACGACAGTGGAGAAGGGCTCCTTTTTCCCGCAGCACTTCCAGCATTAGTTATTATTTGATTTCTAGATGGTAGGCATTCTTTCTGGGGAAAGGTGTAATTTCAGTGTTGTTTTAATTTGCATCTCTCAAAAAATCAGTGACACTGAGCATTTTTCAAATATTTATTTGCTGTTTATATCTCTTTGTCTGAGT